CGCGCGGACCAAAGAGTCGCTCCCTGGAAGCCAACGGCACAAGAGGAAAGCACGTCGATGTGGCTGCGCAAGAAGAGGTTTGGCGGAAGGCCGTACGCGAAGCCCTACAAATACCCAGCGTCCTTCATACTGGCGACTTGCTCCCCTTGAACCTCCCTGCCCACCCAATCACACACGTTCCGCCTCCTCCGGCCAGGATCACCGCCTGCGAACCCGTCTCGCAAGGTCTTCTTTTGCCCAGCACGCGCATCGTCATACTGCAGTCACACCGCAGCAGCTCCAAACACCCCATCGTTCTTCCCCCTGTGAAGCAGGCTCCGGCCACAAATGGCTTCGGCGACGAGGACGAGGCCGACGATACTTCGAATGATACCTTCTATTCCGCTGCGGAGGACCGCCTCGATTCGCGCAATGTGTCTCCCCCAGAAGAGTCGGCTGACAATTTCGAGTCGGAACTGTCAGAGAGTGATGCCGGAGATTTGTCCGACGAATCCGACGACATCATCTCACTGAATGCACCCATGCTGCCACCTCAGTCATCAGGCGTGCTTTCATCCTATACCTCCGCTACTCCACGACCTGGTAACTACCGTACAAATGGAATTGCCACCCCAGGGTCGGTGTATTCTAGCTTCACAGCCACTACTGCTCGCGGACCTACCAATAGGAGCAAGGTATTCAAAGCCCAGGGGCTGCTTCAAAAAGTACCAGATGACCTTATCCACCCAAAGCCAGGGGCTGAGGATGATGAAGAGGCCCGCGTCTTTGTTGACATCAACACCTTGGTCAAGGTCGGTTGCTTCTCTGGCGACTGGGTCAAGATTGAGGGTACTGAAGCGCCTTCCTCGCATCCTCTTTTTGGCCTGGGCGCCTTCGGCAGAGTAGACGACGAGGACAGCTCCAACTGGAGACCTGTTCGAGTCTTCGGTCTACCAGAAAACATGTCCAAGAAGATCGCACGCTATCCGGTACAAAAGAACTCGGAGCTTGATCGAAGAAGCAGTTTCTCAGGCTTTTCGCAACCAGTCTCATCACTACATGCATATCTCTCACCAATCCTTCTCGCCAATCTAGGAAGTCCGTCCCACCTCCGCATTACCCCGCTAGCCCCTAATCAATCATCACATCTCCCAAGAAGTGCAATCCAGAAACCTCGTGTAACCGGCTCGTCTCTACCCCCCTCTGCCAAAGAAGTAACCCTTCTGAAAGTATCAACACCATTGTCTTCCGAGCGTTTGCTTCAGCCCAGTCTTTTCGCAGCCTTGAAAGATCACTTTGAGCAGAAGCGAAGAGTTGTAAAGAGCGGTGATCTGATCGGCGTTTCCATTGACGAGTCTCTTGGTCGAGCGGTTTTCCAAACCAGTACGGAGGACGATGCTGGAAATGAAGAGTTGCTTACCAGAGCCAAATCAAATGCTAGCGAGGAGAGTCCTGGTGTCAGCAGTCGGAACCCAAAGGTCGTTTCATGGTTCAAGATTGGCAACGTTTCTGCTTCTTCGCATCCGGCTCACGATGGTGAAGAATCGGACATCTGGGGCGGTGCTGTGACTGTGGACGCTGCAAGCACGAAGATGGAGATGAACGGCAGCGAACAAGGCAAGACTCCGGCTCCTATCAACAACGCATGGCAATATTACCTAGGCGCCAAACGGGCTCCAGTCTCAAGCTCTCAAAAGACAATGACCTTGGACGAGCTGCCCAAGCCCTACATTTCACCGCTTCGCAGACGTTTGCGAGAACTCATGTCTGTAGCGACGAGTCCCCGAGCTATCCACCTGGGTCTACCCCCCATTGCAGTCTTGATCACTTCAACCCAACGCGGAATCGGTAAGGCTACTATTGCTACCAAAGCTTGTGAAGATCTTGGCCTACACACCTTCTCTATTGATGCGTTCGATATTATCACAGAAGGGGGTGCTGGAGGTGGAGATGTCAAGACTGAAGGGTTTCTCAAGGCAAGAGCCGAGCGAGCTTTGACATGCGGCGCGGAATTCACAGCATTACTTGTGAAGCATATCGATGCGCTTAATGCGGATCGTATGAATGCTGCGTTAAAGGAGATCTTGGCCGACTGTCGTGTGCTGATTGCGACAACCACGGAAATCGACAAGGTGCCTGAAGGCATCCGAGGACTTTTTACACATGAAATCGACATGACAGCACCGGATGAAGGAGAGCGAGAAGGCATATTGAGGAGTATTATCGACGACTCTGGCATCAGGCTGTCTCCCGATGCCGACTTGGGCAATGTTGCAGTTAAGACTGCAGCACTGGTCGCAGGCGATCTTGTTGACGTAGTCGACAGGGCTTTGGTTGCAAAACAACAGCGTCTCGAAGCGCTTGCAGCATCCGCGACAGAATCATTAAAGTCAGCAGAAGCAGTTACAATTCGTGATATTGAGCTTGCCGGCGGTCACATGAGCAACAGTCTTACCAAAGCAGACTTGGACGGTGCCGTGGATGCAGCACGTAAGAACTTTGCCGACGCAATCGGAGCACCCAAGATCCCCAACGTCGGCTGGAAGGATGTTGGTGGTCTTACACACGTCAAGGATGCAGTCATGGAAACCATTCAGCTCCCGTTGTCTCGTCCAGAGCTGTTCGCCAAGGGCATGAAGAAGCGCAGCGGTATTCTGTTCTACGGACCACCCGGAACGGGAAAGACACTGCTTGCAAAGGCCATTGCCACAGAATTCTCGCTCAACTTCTTCAGTGTCAAAGGTCCAGAGTTGCTCAACATGTATATTGGTGAGTCTGAAGCCAATGTGCGGCGTGTGTTTCAACGAGCTCGCGATGCACGGCCTTGTGTTGTGTTCTTTGACGAACTCGACTCTGTCGCACCCAAGCGCGGCAACCAAGGTGATAGTGGTGGTGTCATGGACCGTATAGTCAGTCAGCTCTTGGCTGAACTAGACGGCATGAGTGACGGGGGCGAAGGTGTCTTCGTCATTGGTGCAACGAACCGACCGGATCTGCTTGACCAAGCGCTGCTGCGTCCCGGTCGCTTCGATAAGATGCTGTACCTAGGTGTCTCAGACACCCATGAGAAGCAACAGACTATCTTGGAGGCCTTGACAAGAAAGTACGTGACTAGAACCCTCTCTCAGTCTTGCTTATGCTAACATGTATTCCAGATTCACACTACATCCTTCACTCTCTTTACAACGAGTATCTGAAGGTCTTCCCTTCACATACACAGGTGCTGACATGTATGCCTTATGCTCGGACGCCATGCTCAAGGCCATTACTCGCAGTGCCCGAATGGTCGACGACAAGGTCAAAGCGTACAACAGCACACACTCCTCTAACGCCACCATTGCTTACTTTTTTGATCACATTGCTACCGAGGAAGATACGGCAGTTATGGTAACAGAGGAGGATTTCATGGAGGCCCACAAGGAGCTCGTGCCTAGTGTTAGTGCTGACGAACTCCGTCACTACGATCGGGTGAGGAGGCAATTTGAAGGTGCTGGAAAGAAGGAAGAGGACCAGAAAGCAAACGGCTCAGCATCCCAGCAACCATCAAGCGGGAAAGGGAAGGGAAAGGCGATTGCAGTCGATGATGCTGACAGCATGGTTATTAGGACCGAGCATGTCGAACTCAATGGCGACGGCGAAGCAGCCAGTGGTGGTAGCAGCAAAGGCAAAGGAAAAGCACCGGCTTCAAACCACGGAGGCAAAAACAGCGTGGACATTGCCGAAGGCGGCTTCGGAGACTCCACCGAAGACGGCGACCTGTACTCTTGATTTAGATTCGTATAGCAGGCATGTGCATACTAAGTGCTTACATATGTACTACCCAACTTTAATACAACATCCCTCGCATCCCCATGCAAATGTCAGAAAATCTCACTTCCCCCGGATTGACCATCGTGCACCTAATTTCGTACGACACCCAGATGCGCAGTAGGATCGACAGCTTACTTGCAAAATTAGACTAACACCATGTTTCGATGCTTAAAATGCATAAACTAGTAAGAAAAGGACCGAAACCAGCCGTGAACGAATCGAGTTCTTGTACTGCCATCGCGATTGTTAATAGATACATAGTAAGCACGATAAAGGTTTGGTGCTTGCCAAGGATTAGCCCAACAACAGTGCAGACCTCGTTTACAGGTATTACCAGGGTTACTACGATCATTTTAAGAACTAATTCTAGAAAAAAATGGATAGTTACTGGGGATATATCTCAGATGCTTGTATTTTCTTTTAAGTAATCGGATTTTAAGGATAACTACGGACTATACATAGGATTAATTGATAGAAGATCATGTAGCCCATGCTTGTGTTTCTCTTCAAGAACAGGATAAGTACCGTGATTGTAGGTCAAGATTATGTATGTGGGTCGCGATTAAGTGGTGATGACATAGGCTGAGGGTAGAGAGTAAGAGCTATACCATATACAGTGCAGCTTTCGTTGAGATTGCGAAGATTTCTATCTAAATTAGGGATAGAGTTATCTGGGGAAGAGACCTCATCATCTTACTTGGCGTCTTCACGTACAAGACGTTTGCTAGTGACCACAGTACGTTCTAGTGGCGAAACTTGCCCTGGCATACCTATATTCTGGGTTTCTTGGATCACGCAAGACATACGTGAAAGAGAGAGACAAGCGGTCTGTACGAGCAAAGTCTGAAGTCCAAATTTATGCATTTTTATATAGATTTAGCCCTCCTGAGGCGCAATGCTGAGGTGAGGCGTGGCAAAGCAGTTGTATGGGTATGGGCAGCGCTAGTGTACGTGAGATGACGAAAGGATACGAGGCGTGAAGAAGGAAGGCGCGGAAGGGACATTCTTGGTACGAAGTTTGGCCGAGAAGAAAGAGTGGACTGAGTTGGGTTAGGTCGAGATGAGTTAATACAAATGCAGGAATACTAATTTCGAGAGGGAAGGGGGGATGGGCATATATGTATATATTAAGAAGAATCAATAGGAAAGAAAAAACTGTTCAAAATACCAAGAGAAGAACCACTTGAGTGTCACTTAAATACACTGAACTCTTCTTGTCAAATTCTTCAATATCACATGCACATTCTTCGAAGCAATCTCATCTACTCAAAATGAAACCCTCTCCCCTCCTTCCCCTTGCACTCCCGTCCCTCGCGACTGCCTCGACAATAACCCTAAGCGCCGCACTCTGCCCCTCAACCGCGAAACAAGACCTCGCCCCCTTCGCCATCAACCTGCCTACCAACCAACTCACCCCCTTCGACTCCAAAATCTGCAACCTCAGCATAGTCTCCGCATCCGTGGATCTCGACCTCAACAGTGTATCCTGCAACGTCTACGCCCCGACTCTCAATGTCGACCTCAACAACCCTCTCCCCGCCACCCTCAACCTAAACCAACCAATCGAAAACATCCGGCTGGGAAGCGCCCTCTGCACCGCCCTCCCCCTCGATACCCCCCAGACAAAGCCCCTAGGCCGTAGGCTCCTCCAAATCCTCCACTTGGACTCCTCCCAACGCCAAAAGCGCGAGACAGATATTATAGGAAAGCGCGCAGCGCCTACCGAGATGCCAGGCGCCGGAAACAAGAAAGACGACAATAAGCGCGAAGCTCACCCTGCAAAACGCGGTCCAGTGACCCCAATGGGAGGAAACGGGCCCGGTCCTACGCCTAAGCCGGGAGGCGACGAAAAGGAGGAGAGAGAGGTAGAGGAGAAGAGGGAGGCACGGCCGACGGCTGGGGGGAAAGAGCCTGCGCCTACGGGAGGCAACAAGAGAGAGGTAGAGGAGAAGAGGGAGGCACGCCCGACGGATGGGGAGAAAGAGCCTGCGCCTACGGGCCCCTCGGGAGGTAAGAAGAAAGTGGAGAAGAGGGAGGGGGAGGAGGAACAGGATTTCGAGAATGGAGAGAGTGTGACTAAGAGGGGGAATGGAGGGGCGATTTTTATTGGTGATGCGCCTGCGGGTGCGAAGTTTGAGATGGGGTTTTTTGGGGTGGGAGCTTTGGCGGTTGGGATTGCGGCTTTGGTTATGTAAGATGGATGGGAAAGGGTTGTAGGGGGTGTTTGTGTACATCGATGAGATGGAAGGACAGAGTATTTATAGTAAAGTCAGACTATTAATTACTTCTCATCTCCTATCTTACAAAGATAATTGGAAAAGGTCGCTATCATATCCCGTCGTTCATCGACAAAACGCCAATGCTAAACTAAAAACATTTTTATCTCGGTGTGCGACAAAGGAAAACCCGGCTGGTCGAATAGCCAAAGATGCTCACACGAAGTAATCCAAGTGACTCTAGAGGCCTCAAAGAGTATTGGAGAATCGCGGCATGATCATGGTAAGTAAGCGATGGTGGCGGCGACGATCGATGCGTCCATCGAACATACCGATGAGAGAAACATTCAAAAGACAAAAACCCAAACGCTGATTTTGATGAAAGAGACAGCAACAAAAACAACTCGTTTCCCTTTTCTTTCTTCCCAAGTCTCACTCGGCTTGATCCTTCTCTTCTCATCGATAAACCCAAGTTATGTCTTCTTTTCACCAGCCGCAGCGCGACAAAAAGGTGTGACCTTCAGACCCCCCGATCTTCCAGCTCTTGTTGTGCACTCCGGCATTTGGAGAGGAAAAAAACAGCCAAGGAAATATCAAGAAAAAGAAAACTCTCAAGTTGAGTGAAGAAACGAAAGAGAAGAGAGGAATTCCCCATGTGATCGAGGAAGATGTTTATTTCTTCCCGAGCAGGCCTCCGACCATGCTCATAGGTCCGCTCCCACCCTTCTTCTTCTTCTTGTCGCCGCCGCCTAGTGCATCAGTGATACCGCCCAGGCCTAATCCACCAAGCAGCTTGTTGATACCAAGTCCGCCTAGCAGACCGTTGACGAGACCACCAAGACCAAGACCGTTGAGGAGTCTGCCAACAAGGTTGAGAACACCAGTTAGCAGCAAGCCAACGGCAGCAATGATCTGGAACAGAGGCTCGGTAAGGAGAGCCCAGAGTGGGTTGAGCTTCTTCTTGGCGTGAGGCATGTCAGAGATCTTCTTCTTAGCGTTGTCAATGGTGGTGACGACAGTGGTAGTAAGCTCCTTGAGGTTGTCGGCAAGCTTGTACTCTTCGGGTGAGGCTTCGCCAGTCTGTTGACGGCCCTTTGCCTGGGCAGCGATGCGGCCATCAGGGTCGAGACCACGGAGCGAGCCATTGCAGTCGTTGAGGATGCGAGATCCCTCCTCGATAAGTGGCTTGACGTTGTTGACAAGTTCTTCTTCATCGAGCTCGTCACGTGGTGTGCGGTCAGCTTGCTCAATGTACTAGAAGCGAGTTAGCAATTGCTCATGAAAAGGAGAAGTGGATATTATCATCAAACATACCTCTGTAATTTGCTTCATGACAGGTTGGACGCGCTGAAGGGTGTCTTCACAGATAGCAGACATCTTCTTGGCGAGCTCAGAGTCTTCACGGCGCTGCCTCTCCTCGTCGGTCTCATCTTCTTGTTCTTCTTCTTCCTGGATGTTCTCCAAGAGAGTGACTTCTCCGACCTTGTTACCATCATTGTCGACAACGTATCCGTTGTCGTCAATCTCAAGGCCAGCGCAGTGGCCAAGGTCACCAGCAGTGAGACGACCAATAACGTCGCCGTTGTCGTCGCGAACCTCACCTTCCTTGTTGACACGCATGCCGGCCATGGGGTTGATGCGGCGCTCCTTCTGCTCAGGCTCCCATCGCTCAGCCTTTCCAATGACGTTGCCGTTCTTGTCGTTGATGTCACCGTCCTCATCGACCTTGTGTCCCTCGAGCTTCTTAATGTCGCCCTCGATGACACGGCCAATGATTTCGCCAGAAGGAGTCTGGACAGTACCGTCCTTGGCAACAACGGCAGAGTCAAAGCCGGCAAATGGTCCCTCAGGTCCAGACTGGTGACCGTGAACAAGCTCACCACGACCAATGACGTTGCCTTCATTGTCCCAGATCTGGCCCTTGCCGTCAACCTTCTTGCCGGCCAGAGTGGCTGGGTCTCCCTCAGCGACGCGGCCGATAACGGCACCGCTGGAATCGACAATGTTACCAGCCTTGTTGACAGTGCAGCCAGCAAGAGCGCTGAGGTCAACTTCCTCCTGTTCCTCTTCCTCCCATGGCTCGGCGTGGCCCTTGACATTGCCATACTTGTCGATAATGTCACCATCTTCGTCGACAGTGTGTCCGACGAGCTTCTTGGGGTCACCCTCGGTGAGTTGACCTACACGATTCCCATCGTTGTCCTCGACAAATCCGTCCTTGACGACGCGGAGGCCTTCGAAGCCAGCGAATGGGCCCTCCTTGCGCTCGGGGCGCTCATTCGGAGGAATGAGCTCGCAGCGACCGACAACCTTGCCGGTATCACCATGAATGAGACCATCGCCATCAGACTTGCGTCCGGCGAGCTCACCAAGGTTACCCTCGACAAGCTTTCCGATGGGAATGCCCTCGCTGTTGACAAGGTAACCCTGCTTGTTGAGAGTGAGGCCATCGAGAACAGAAAGGTCGGCGGGCTCTTCCTCTTCCTCGTCCTCAAGAGGCTCAGCATGGCCCTTTACATTGCCGTACTTGTCAAGGATATCACCGTCCTCGTCTACGGCCATGCCAACAAGCCGCTTGGCATTGCCTTCGACAATCCGGCCAACAGTGTTACCATCCTCATCGGCAACCATGCCGCCCTGCACGACGCGGAGACCCTCGAGGCCGGCGAAGATGCCCTCGGGCTTGGACTCGCGCTCCTCTTCGGGGATCAGTTCGCAACGACCAATCTGCTTGCCAGTGTCGTTGAAGATGAGGCCCTCTTCGTTGATCTTGCGGCCAGACAGCTCCTTGGGGTTGCCTTCAACAAGACGACCAATGGGAATACCATCGTCGCCAATGACGTTACCTTGCTTGTTGACAGTGCGGCCTGCGAGGGCGGAAAGGTTCATTGGAGCTTCTTCCTCCGGAGCTTCTTCCTCAGGCTCGTCGTAGCGTTCAGCGTGGCCAACGACTGAGCCCTTCTTGTCAAGAATGTCACCGTCTTCATCGACGGCACGACCAACGAGCTTCTTAGCATCGCCCTCAACGACCTGGCCGACGCGGTTGCCCTTGTCGTCTTCGACGTAACCATCCTTGACGACGACAAGGCCTTCGAGACCAGCGAAGGGAGCTTCTTCTTCGCCTTCCTCCTGGGGAACAGTTTGAGCGCGGCCAATGACCTTGCCCTTGTTGTCCCAGAATTGACCCTCGGCATCGCAGGTGAGGCCAGACTTTGACAGCTTCTTGGCGTCACCCTCGATCAGCTCACCCACAATGTTGCCATTGTTGTCAATGAGTTTGCCGGCTTTGTTGACCTTGAGACCATCGAGGATTGATAGAGGAGGGCGGCCATCGTCGTCAACCGCCTCCTCGGCTTCCTCTTCACCTTCTTCAACATCCTCCTCAGCCTCACCGACTGGCTGCTCGACCATCTTAGGGAGGGTCTTGACCTTTCCAATGACGTTTCCGTCCTTGTCAACGACCTCGCCCTTGGCGTTGATCTTCTTGCCAGCACACTCGGCGGCATCGCCCTCGACAAGTTCGCCGATAGGCTCGCCATCCTCGTCAAGAACCTGACCCTTCTTGTTGACCTTCAGGCCGTCCAGCTCGTTGATTTCTGGGGTGACCTCAACTTGCTTGACTTCAGGTTCCTGGACTTGGGAAGCATCGACCATCTTGGGCAGAGCCTTGACCTTGCCGAGAACGTTTCCGTCCTTGTCGACGACCTCGCCCTTGGCGTTGATCTTCTTACCAGCGCATTTGGCAGGATCACCTTCGACGAGCTCACCAATCTCCTCGCCTTCCTCGTCGAGGACCTTGCCCTTCTTGTTGACCTTGAAGCCTTCAAGTTCATCGATTTCGGGAGTGATCTCCTTCATCTCAGGCTCGCCCTCCTCTTCCTCCTCTTCCGCTTCTTCCTCTTCGCCTTCCAATGGCTCGCCAAGTTCCTCCTTGAGTGCTTTGATAGCAGTGAAAGCAGCCTCACCAGGAACAACGTCGACCTTGCCGATGACCTTGCCATCCTTGTCGAGGACTTCACCCTTCTCGTTGACCTTCTTGCCAGCGCACTTCTCAAGATCACCGTCAGTGAGCTCACCAATCTCTTCGCCATCAGAATCGAGGATCTTGCCCTTCTTGTTGACCTTGAGGCCGTCCAAGATTCTGGTGTCTAGAGCACCGGCTGCAGACTCCTTGAGCTTGTCAGCGGCGCCCTCGGCAAGCTCAACCGTGCCGAGAACATTGCCATCCTGGTCGACGACCTCGCCCTTGTCATTGACGGTGAGGCCCTTGACGTTCTCAATATTCTCAAGGTCGCCCTCGGCAACGTTGCCAACGACATCGCCATCGTCGTTGAGGATCTCGCCACTGCTGTTGATTTCCATGCCCTCAAGGGCCTCGACGCCAGGAAGTTCGTCTTCAATGTCAGCAGCCTTCTCCTCGACGCCTCCCTTGGCGCTTTCGGCAGCGTTGGTAGCAGTGCCCTTGGCTTGCTCAGCAGTGTTGGTAACGCCGTTCAGGGCATCGCCTTCCTCTTCCTCTTCCTCTTCCTCGTCGTCCTCCTGCTGGTACGCAGGGAGGTCGGCAGCTTCAGGAGAGAGTTCAGCCCTGGCGATGACATTGCCATTATCGTCGAGAATCTCGCCGTTCTCGTTAAACTCGCGTCCCTGAATATCGGCTGGGTCGCCTTCAACGAGGTGGCCAACGAAATCACCGTCCTCGTTAAGGATCTGACCAGATCGGTCGGCAGTCAGACCCTTGAGAATGCTAATATCGGGCATCTTGCCGTTGACATCTCCGAGCTGCTGGTCGGCCATCTCGGGAGTGAGTTCGCAGCGACCAACAAGATCACCATCGTCGTCGAGGATTTCTCCGTTGTCACCAATGGGGTAACCAACGAGATCCTCGGCATCACCTTCGACCAAGCGGCCGATGATCTTGCCATCTTGGTTCTTAATCAGACCCTCCTCGTCAACCTCGAGGCCCTTGAGGAGGCTCAGGTCGGGAGTGCCATCGTCAACGGCATCC